CAATCTGCAACAACAAAGTCCTTATCAAGGTAAAGATCTATATTACAACGGAAAACCCCGTACGATCTGGTCAGAACAAACCAAAAAATTAATCGAAAAACTGATAACGCCATTCGATTCCGCATGTCTGGAAACTGTGTCACGTGCATTTTGTTTTAAAAATTATTCGCTCCGGCTCCCGTGCCCCGTGCCGGTGCCGATAGAGCTGAAAGCTCAAGGTGACCTTGAAAATAATTTCAAAGTCCGGTTGCTTGGAGAAAAAATCAGTAAATTTAAACTGGTACCTTTTTAGATCAGCAAATAAAAAATATTTAAAATTTTACTCCTATAAAACTAGAAAACCAATAATATTAGCAGTAACACAAACGATGCTGATAGTGGATGGCTTCGTTTCAATAAATCGTTAACAATTTATAGCGCTCAAAAACATGACTTAAGAATAAGAACGCTCGTTAAAAGCCACTTGAAGGCAGCTGTAAAAGAAGCTTACCATCGCAATCGTTCAAACGGGCTGACCTTTCACTGCAGTCCGAGCAAAACTAAGGACAGTAACTAATTAATCAGCATATACAGTCCGTAAATTATTCCGTATAATACGGAATAGTAATACGGTATCTACATTCGAGATCTCTGTTATTACAAAAAAAGGGATTCACGAACCCAGCTTTCCCGTATAGAATCAGCAAAAACCGTTTCCATCAGCTGAGCACAGTCCAGAGCACACAGCCCGCTAGGTGAACGAGTGGCCGAACTACCGCTGCTGTCCAGAGCACACGGCCCGCTAGGTGACCGAACTACCGCTGCTGTCCAGAGCACACGTTCACGCGGGCTGTGTGTGAACGAGTGACACTTCGGTCACCGCTGCTGTCCAGAGCACACAGCCCGCTAGGTGAACAAGTGACCGAATTACCGCTGCTGTCCAGAGCACACGCCACACGGCCCGCTAGGTGAACGAGTGACCGAACTACCACTAGCATCTACTGCAAGCGTTCTTTACGTTGAAATTTTCTACCTCGTAGACTCAGAGTCGGGATGGAAAAGTTAACATAGATTCCTTTCTGAGTCAATGTGAATGCGTCAAGTCAATGTAAATGAGTGCACAAAAGCCGTAAATTCACTTATTATCCTATCTACGTTTTGGCGCTAATTTCGGACCGTTTTGTTTTGCTGAAGGAATAAGATGTTAACTAAACAGCTGATCGAAATCATTTGAATAAACAGGCCGTAGACTGGGGACCACAAGAAACGCGGAGGCGAAGCCGAGGCTGTTTCTTGTAGTTATTATAGCTGTCCATGATAAAGAGGATAATTGTAGTGAATGAACTTAAATTGTTTTCCAGTTGACGTAGATATATAATCAGCTGACCGCTTCTGCACACTAGTGATCCACTTAACTAATGAAACATTTTAGCGAATCTTGGGTGAGGCGTTGGTGCGTGTCGCAATAGCATTCTACTTTCAGCCGGCGAAACCGCAATAATATGTATGTTCCATGTACAATGGGCATGTGCTGAATATTGATTTTTTTCTTTAATAAATCCCATTATCATTAGCATTAGCAATGCAGTGCCTGAAACAATAACGAACCTTACACGCCAACATGTGCAGCGGCGCGTGATACGGATAGTGCCAATTAGCGGGGAAATCGATCGGTCCACACGGCGAAAGCACTGCCATTATTAATTATTAACTCCTGACACCAGCGGCCGGATTAAACACTGTTGACATTCAACAATAAAAGGTTTCGCGGCAATATTATTATTATTATTATTACGGCACAAGAGCAGACAACCCCGTAGGGACTTCAAGTCTGGTCGAAACGCACTATGTATTTACACCATAACACGCCATCCCTGGAATCAGTGTACATTTGTTTCCATTTCGCTGTAAGATATGGCTATATAGTCCCGTTTGCTATACACTGCAACTGTCAAAAACCCCGGAAAGGGAACGCCCGCCAAGATCATAGCCTGGCCGAGAAATGGCTGCATTATTCATTGACCTCCCGCCCGCCTCCGTGCATTATGTGCCGGTTAGGGACGTTTTCAGTCCGTCAAACGGGGATTAAAAGGATTGCAGCAACACTCAACATCGTGACACTTAATCACCGTGGTGTACGCTGCCACGACACATGACAAATAGTTGGCCATTGAGTGTATAGACAAATTACCGGCTCTAACATAGTTGGTAACGCGAGTGTTTTCTGCCGGGAGAACTGCAGTACGGATGGTAACGTTACAGGCAGTTTCAACAGTGGTCCGGCTTTCACCGCTGACCAGATCGCCAGAGCGCATTGGTTATGGTGGATATGCTATCCGGTACTGTTGGCTTGCTGCACAGTGGGCAACGGTCTCAATCTCGTCGTTCTGATTCGCCAGGCCAAAAAGAACAGCACCACGTCGTACATGATTGCCATGGCGTTTAGTGATCTTGTTGTACTGTAAGTGGCTTAATTATTCGATTAAAATCTTCCTAGTAAGTAGCAATGTTCGTTTTCACTTCTACAATGTTGCACTGTTATAACCACCTTGCCTGCAACGAACTATGTACCATTATAGCTAATTTATGTAGATGCACTACACATAATGTGCCTAATGCAAGTCGAGATTTTTCTTTGCTTATTGCCATCAGTTGCACATTAGAGATAAAATTATTATCAAAATAGTTAAACAGTTTTTTCGTATATAGCCATATTATGTACGTGTGTAGCGCCAGTATCGATCTGGCGGAGTATCTGGTATCTGCACTGCCGCCACTATTACAGCCGCGGCTGAGGGATGGCTGCATTATTCATTGACCTCTAGCCCGCCTCCGTGCATTATGTGCCGGTTAGGGACGCTTTCAGCCCGTCAAGCAAGGTTAAAAGCATTGCAGCAACACTCACAGCACCGTGGCACTTAATAACCTTGGTGTACTGCGACGGTATATGACAAATAGTTGACCACTGAGTGTATCGACAAATTACCGGCTCTGACATGGTTGGTAACGCTAGTGGTTTCTCCCGGGATAACTATACCGACAAACATCTTATCGATAATGTCAACTGTACGGACGGAAATCTTATTGCCAATTCTACGGGTCGTCTTTCGGCTTTTACCGAAGACCAGATCGCCAGAGCGCAATGGTTATGGTGGATATGTTATCCGGTGCTATTAGCCTGCTGTACCGTGGGCAACGGTCTCAATCTCGTCGTCCTGATTCGCCAAGCCAAAAAGAACAGCACCACGTCGTACATGATTGCCATGGCTTTTAGTGACCTTGTTGTACTGCAAGTGGCTTAATTATTCGAGATACCAGTACAGTACATAGATTCTAACTGTAGATCTTTATTGTTACTGCATTTCAAAAACCCATTCAGTGCACAGAAGAAATATTAGTTTTATTTGCAAGTCATGAGCATTTTTTTCGGATGCTGTTGATTACCGCCTTCTTTCTGCCCTGCTTAGGTGGTTATTTTTTCCGATATTCTTATGGAACCTCAGTCGAAAATTTAACTTGCCGTATGGCATCGACGCAAACAAAGCAACGATATTCCAGTATATGGGTATTCAAGGATGGATACAGGAGACGTTCATGCATTTATGTGATTGGTATGAAATATGAAACACATAATCAGGGTAAATGCACATTAATTTAGGTTAATGATCTTACAGAGTAGTCTACAATACGTATAAATTTTTCATAACCTCTGCGCCTTGAAAATACTCGATCTCTTGCTGCGCATGCGGGTTTACTAAAAACACCTTAACAAGACTGAACACTGTAAAATTTTGTATCCCATAGAACCATTCTAGTTCTAAATCGTAAGTACTTCTGCAAAGTAGGGTCATGTGAGCGCATCACAATGTGACTGCCAAAAACTGCAGGGTATTGCTCATGTTCTCCGCAGAACGATTAATGGCCTTTGTCAAGCCTTTCTGGATTAAGAAGCTGACGAGTGATCTTTCGGCCAATATCCTCGTGGTTGTTCTGTTCGTGTCGTCGGCCATGTTTAGCGTGGAGAATTTTGTCTACGAGCGTTATTGTACTGTCACAGGATGCAACACCACTTATTCCGCTTACATGTGTGTGATTGCATTTGCATATATCCTTTATAGATTTAAGTAAATGATCATTTTTTGTGTTACGACATCGCCGTTAATTGAATATGCGGTTATCAACGAAAACGTTGGTTGCGCAGCTTACAGTTTGTGCACTGATCGTGTAGGAATGAAGCGGCAAAACCGACTTGGCTCTTTAAATGGGGAAAGATTCAGAGTACCGCTGAGGTAACGGCCTCAACTGTTCGTTTCTGCCGCTACAATACACATAAGCATAAATAATTCTAATCATTTGCAGCTTTCCGTGAATTTCGGCAATTTCTTCCTTTTATTACTCATCAACAGCGCACTCACAGCAGCCATTAGCAAACAGCATCGGCAAGACCTGGGCCGGGTCAAATCTGATAACAAAGAACGCCAGAATAACCGCAGCAGAAATATCCATATTCTCCTGCTCAGCAGCGTCGCGCTTTATCTCGTAGCACAGTTTCCCAGTTTACTGTATAAAGCGCTGGAGTTGGCGGACACTCTGGAAGTGTGGGCTTCTGACAAAAACGCCAAGGAGTTCGCCTCGCCCATCTGCAATGTCACACTGCTGGCTAACTATTCGGTCAACTTTTTCCTGTACTTGACCGTTAGCAAACGCTACCGCGTACAGTGCACACGGACACTGCAGACATGCTGCGGTAATAGTAATATTGCAATGTCCTTCAGTACGAGAGGCGGTATGGGTCTGACGGGCAGTACCACAAGGCGGCAGCGCATGTTACGGTTTCTAACGTCAAAGCCTTCGAAGAACACTTGTTTCGGCTCAATACACTCCAGCTCCACAATGGAACGTGTGGCCAAACACGAAGCCATCCAGAAAATGGAAACCAAACTGTGACCTTTAAAAGGCGCGACGTCATGGTAGCATAAGCTGCTTAGTAAACGTTGAGATGTTCTGGGAGGCCGGAGTTCATCATTTTTGGAAGTATCGGCACTGTTAATGTTGCTATAGTTTTATATCATTTCGGCAACAGCCTAAGAAATGTTGCTAACAAATGTAGGAGTAAAGATAGAGCAAGCCTGACTGAGTTATCGTAATGGTGAGTAAAAAAAGCGCAAGCAGTAGCTTTTATAGTATTCAAACCCGCTCTCCGGTTGTTTTAGTCATATAATAAACGAATGGGCTCATGATAAGGAACTAATTTCTTAGAAATGTGTAGTAGGTGACCTTCCAATTTCTTCCACCCATCCTTTTCGACATGTGGAGACTATCCAAAAATGTTCGCTTAGTTCTACCAAAAACACACGTTATCCAAAATCTACGGCCAGTCAAATGCATATTCTCAACTCCGCATATTGATCGACTAGGCTACGTCGAACTTTAATATGGATTAATCGTACGCTTACCGACATTCCTCATAAATGTGCCATCGTAATGGTACACCTTACGACTGGCAATATCGTGGTAACCATTTCCGACATCCATCGTATCTTCCGGAATTAGTGGCGCTGGCGGATTTGCGACCAATAACGCTTAAATCATCAATACAAATTACAGGATTAATAACTCAACACTGCAACCAAGTTTGCTTGTCTTTATGTTATTGGACATAACTAACGACAACGCTCTGTGTCAACTAACGTTTTCCGCTAAGGTCATTTAGATTTCCTTCCAAAATCTCTGATCGTTCCCATCGCAGTATCCCCAAGGTTTATTCGCATCTGCCAGACCCGATCCGGGAAGTCCGCCGTCGTATATCAGTCCATCTGGAAAGACTAAGTGACCCTGCAAACATTTTCTGTTACCGACAATTTTAAAGGTATTGTAAAAGTTTAGTATTCGACCGTACTGAGCTCAGCTTTCCATGTTCCCATGTGCCTTTGAACAGTGTTCCGTCAGGATAAATTATCTGTCCTTCTCCATGGTAAAGGTCATCCTCGAAGCCGCCTTCGTACACCATGCCTTCTTTGGTGACGTACCGGCCGGTGCCATTTGCTCTGCAAATTTGTTTTCGATCAGATCACATAATTTTCGTATTCTGTTCGAACGTTATATTATGAAATTAATAGTACCTTCCGTTGCGAGTTGGTCCAGCATAGTGATTGTCCTTTGGGTTGTCTGCCGCTGTTTTGTTTTTACTGCAGACTGGTACCATTGTTTTACAACAAGACTATTTTTTTAGTGAGTACTGCAAAACTAAGTGAATGGTGGAGTTGCAACGCCAACGCAAACGCAAGTGTGCTTCGATATTTCTCCGAGGTCACCATGCAACGAAGCGGTGGAGTAGTTGTTAAAGAGGCCTCCAACTTATGCATAGTGTGTTTTTCATTTAAAACAACATTGTAGACTTTTTGCACGGAACACATTACTGACCAATGTCCTAGAACACGAGATGAAGCTATATAGATAGTTCCACATTGATAATGCGGTATTAAAAGCTTGAGCTTGCAAGTAGAAACAAACTTTACACAATAGTGCACAGTGTTTTGGTTGTACACAAATATGGCGTATGTTAAAATCGTGCGCTTACGAAAACACTTCATCAACAACAATGCCGACATACGTAACAAACAAAGCACGATTCTTTCTGATAGTGAGCTACTCGTCTGTACACGGACTGTCTAACTGTACCGTAAGGTACGTGAAGTTCGCTCCAGTTTTATGCCAGGGACGGTTTTTTAATCCATGTATTGTACATTCGTCAGATTAATTTGCTATGGATTATAGAGTAGCATTTATGCACAATCATACAGGCATGATAAAGCGTAGAACTGTATAATTATGTATTCAGCAAAATACGTACTGTACTTGTACCATACTTCTTACGGTAAATTGCCCAACGCACAAAAACCGCATTGCTAATACTGCACCGTACAACTTACTTTCAAAAATTTTGTCTTTAACTTAATTGCACCGCATATGCCTTCATCAAAGTGAATCTTTGCCCGGAGCTTTAGTCTTCACCGGCTTTTTTCAGAATCGTTCTTTCGTTTTATCAGCAAAAAATTTGTATATCAGGCAGCATCAGAGGTCAAATGCACGATATAATTCCAGTGTCATGGCGCGGTCCGTACATGATAACGAGATCGTAAAAACCATTTTCTGGGAACAGCATACGTATTTTTATTACGAATACTTAACCCACAATATGCAATGCTGGAATTAGTGGACATGGAGCTTTGTAAGGCTTTAACTGGTTTGCAAATCGGCATGGTAGTCAAATTCAAACTCGTCTAATAAGAAAATGCCCTTTTTCAAGAATTATTACTAATTTTCAAAAACTTACTGCACATTCATGAATCGACTTTGCATATTAGTGGTTGCTACCGGCAGTGTAGCATTTGACGCTTTTTATGATAGTGCCAGAGGCATGACAATGTTAAGTTTCAAGTAATCGAAAGTCAGACGCGTGCGGCTCGGCTGCATGCGAGAACTGACAGAAAAACATTAATACAAGGTATTGAAGTTTCGAGTACCTACGATATTCACCAAAAGAAAGCGGAAACGTAAGATTTTGATGATATCATACAACTATGTTCATCAATGGCACGGCTGTTTGTGGAGATCTCGGCGATCGCAACATTACGTCTGATAAAGCGTTTTCCGATGACCAGATTGCCGGCGCACATTATTTGTGGTGGATAGTGTATCCCATTTTGCTAACCTGCTGTACGGTTGGCAATGGCCTGAATTTGATAGTACTGGTTCGCGAGACCAAGAGGAGTAGTACCACGTCATACAAAATAAGGCCTGCTTCGCCCTGCTCCAAATCCGGCATCCGACTTCGCTCTCCATTCATGCATTCAATGCAGGATGACCCTTTGACCTCGTTATATACTCAAAATCTTTCGAAGATTCCGAAATCATAGTTTTCGTTACCTTCTATTTAAGTCGGTTATTGTGGAAACGTGACGCTTACGAGTTGCCTTTCTCTAGTGTGGTTTTGTATACGAATAATGCTACGAATTTGGAATAATGCTAAGGTAAGCATTATACGATTGGATGCAATTTGTATACTTATTCTTAGCATTATTCCAGATCTGACAATTTGTGTAACTGCTAAGCATTATACAAATTGCCAGAATTTGAATACTGCTAAGCATTATACAAATTAGTAATGCTAAAACACATACAAAATTTTTTTAACTTGAAAATTTTTTCATGTGATTGAATTGAGGTTGAGCCGTTAAGGTATTTACTGAATAAAAAACTGTACGTAAAGACCAATGTCGAATCTTTAATGGGTTTTCGTGTCCTTCAAAACTTTTTACATGTCAAAACGCTGGAAAATGTTTCGCAATACCTACAGGAAGAAAGCCGATGAATTTTCGACACCGACCGCTAGTAGTACCGTTCATTTGTAAGTTTTTAGACTAAATTCAAGCGCATAAAAAATTTTTAGAATTCGCAGTTTTATACGCCTTTTAGCATTATTCCGAGATCGGTAATTCCTATAATGCTTAGCATTATTCTTAACCCACGGCATTTGTATACTGTAATGTAATAGCAATATTCGTAATTCACGAATTAGTATAATGCTGAGCATTATACTAATTCAGTGGGTTACGAATAGTGCTAAGCATTATACAAATATAAATACGAATCAGTTCTGCTTAGCAAAAGCCACACTCATCATAAATCAAGCAAACACCGTCACAACATTCATCTATGGCAGGTCACCAATCCGCTCTTAACTTGACCGCTGTCATACAGTGCACCCATCCACGGTTGACGGTTAAGCTAAAATTAATATGAAGTGGCAAACTATCCGGGGTTAACTATTACGTTATTGCGTTACTGAGCTTTTTAGTGTTCCAAGGGCTTCATGTACCTATATGGCATATGCGATATCAATAACTGTGTAAAGCTGATGAAACTGTGCAAATCCATGAAAGTAAGAAAGTCAGAAGTCAAACTGCAAACTGCCTTCAGAGCGGTTGACATTCTGTCTACTTATAAATCTTTCTCCATTTTAGAACAGAGAGAATGCCTCTAGACGCCATGTTTGTTTGCAAGGAGGAGAACGGCGTAAAGTATTTTTGCTTTAGCGATACTCTTCGTATGGAATGGCGTGTAGCTAACAAGTCGTTTATACTTGTGCGGGTCAAGTCCAGGCGGTCCTTTAAATGATGATGGGACCAATGCTGGGTGTGAGCAGTGTATTGAGAGCATGGAAGAATACGATGTGCGTGTGGCTCGTAAATTTATCAGAATGAAGTTGAGCGGGGAAATGATCCAGACGTTGAGAAAGTCCAATTTTAAATGGCAGCCTTTAGTTCGCGTAATCGTGGATGGCGTGCGAAAAGAAATTTTCACCAAAGTGAATGGACGTGCGGTAAAAGAACAAGCACAGATCTGCATTATACGCCCAACCGATGGTGGACCTTTGGAACTTTCTGTGTTGGAGTTTCGAATCCTCTGCGCGACTCTAATGACACTAATTGATCAGCGATGGTAAGCACAACAGTCAGAACTTAATGGGAGAAAGCTTGTAAGTTCTCAGTGTCAGATGTAAAGCTGTTTTCGCGTACTCGTCGATATCAAGGAAGTTTAGCAATAAATAGTCACTTACAACGTCTTGTATTTTCTATGTTTACAAAATAATACAAGACTAGATTCAACAGAATTTTGGTAGTAACTCATTCATTCTCATTTTGTAACTCATTCATCTTCATTTTGTTAGTAACTCTTGTATCCTTACTTCGAATGAGTTACTAACAAAATTCTGTTGAATCTAGTCTTGTATTATTTTATAAACATTGCTTTTTAAAACGACTGGCAAAGTATTTGGTGCTTTCTCTTCAAAACGTCTGGTTATTCGTTTCGTTTAAAAGTACATGACGAAGCTTTTCTAAAATGCAGGTATCAAAATTTATTACCATTATTAATAGTTTGCTCCAAGTCGTAGCCTTGAGTTATTGCTGCTATAATGAATTTTCCAAATCTGTAAGAGCGTACGATAAATTGTTCATTGATGTTATGCTGCTTTTGACCACTTGGGTGCTGGATGTCATTGCGAATGCGTACTGTTTCCTTGCCATCTTCCAGTCCAAGAAGTCATTACTGCTTGCGTTCAAAAAGTTACCGCTCACGCTGATTATTCTTTAAATAAAAAAGCAAAATTAGAAATTTATGGCTTTATTGGATTTAACCTCTTGATAATCATTGCCACCTCGACTTATAAAGCGATTTATTCGGATGCCGCTCCGTTTACCGCTAATATGCACGCAGATTATGCACTTACAAAAGCGTTGATTCCATTTCCCCAATATAAAATTTTATATGTATGTAGTATATGCCATTCTATACCGAGTTGGGTGCGTCGGAGAATTAATCTTGACCAGTTTTACGGGATGTTTTGCTGTCGTGATTGGAATTAGCGAATTTTAGATTTCACAAAACAAGTTCCGTCCAGTTCGACTTGCGGGTAGAAGTTGGCGTTACGGGTCGATTTACGTCCGTTCGCGACGTAAGGCGCCGTAACCTAACGTTGTTGGCTGACGCGTAAAAACTATCTGCCTTGCGTGGATCTGTGCAACGGCTCAGCCGTATGGCTGAGCAACAAGCCAGCGCATGCTGCCTGTGGATCTTTTTTATGTGCTCTAACCGCCTCCCCGAGAGCAGGTTGGTCACGCTCTCGGCACTCTCGACTCGATTTATTTTTCAGCTGTACGTCACTGCAAGTGTGCATCCGTACAAGCATTTTAAACGCTGTTCAATCTGGTACCGTACTGTTTATGTGACGCAGTAGTTTCTAGTGGACGGAGCCTGAACCATGTGAAATCTAAAATTCCCTATTGGAATGCGTTTCACGGCGATTGCCGACATGCTTGACGTAAAGCAGCAGCAAATTAAATGTTCTACCGAGACTGTCCTGCAGGAACATAAAAGCCTTGCAGAACACACTTAAGTATTCGATTCTGCAATGTCCACGGTTAATATTCTGCTGTATATTATATTCGATACTTGGCTGACGTTACATACGCCATTTTCAACATTGCCTTGGAGTACAAAATTAATTAACTCATGACTTAAGCCTGGATGACTGTATTTCACTGGTGGAAGATTTATATTTTTTAATGCTTTATGCTTGTACTTTTGTATATTGACCGAACAGGTAAGACCAGGCTCTAACGGATAATGCCGATTGGTATAAGTTCTTAATTGTGTTTGTGCAGGCATCTCAAATTAC